AATTTTTCACAGAAAGTGTGGTCGGGCATTGGAACAGGCTGCCCAGGGAGGTGGTTGAATGACCATCCCTGGATGTGTTTAAGAGCCATTTAGATGTGGTGTTGGGGGATATGGTGTAGGGGAGAACTTTGTAGAGTAAGGTAAATGGTTGGACTCGATGATCCCAAGGGTCTCTTGCAACCTAGATGATTCTATGATTCTATAATGGTCCCTTATGAATTTTTCTTTCATGGTTTTGCATGAATACATATCTACTTTAACATCCCTAGTTTCCTGCATTAAGAAGAGCTGCAGTTTTAACTACAGCCTCGGTACCCCAATTCATTTATTTTTAGTCTAACAATTAATACGTTAATATAATTCCACCTGGTTGGTTCTTGTATATTAGAGTTGGAATAATCTTTCTTTACTCAGTTGCAGATAAGTCATTATATACAACCCTGTGTTCCCCCAGTATTCCTTTTTCTCATAGTGGAAATCGTGGAAGATATCCAGTCTATTTGTCTTCGTACACAAGCTATTTTGGAAATATGTCAACTTTACAAGTCCAAGTGGACTGTAGCATCTGTCTTATCCTTGGTCTTTCTGTGCAATGACTCTTTGAGAGACCTCTAGTGGGTTTATGAGGCATGAATCATTTCTACGGAAGCTGTGTTGACTCTTCTCCACTGTTCTGTATTTAACCTATGCCCACTAATCCACTCTGTTCTTAGAGTTTCTAACAACTTGCCCAGTACAGCTCTCTCCTGTGCTGTGTAGATCATCACTTATGCAGTTTTAAGAATTATCTTTTGCACCACATTTTTCTTCCTGAGTCAGTACTCTGATGTGAATATTTTGACATCCAGTGAGCTACAGAAGAGCACACAGTCTTGACTTTACAGCTGCTATTGAGGAAATGCATCAAAGCCCCTGACAAACCTGGGAGAGCTCAATAGCCCTTAGTTAGATTGTGTCTGCTTAAGGTCTGAATTTATGACTTGACCTTTCATTCTATGGGTCTTGCTTTGCTGTTTAACACTAGACTAAAATATTATCTACTATATCTTCTCCCCATGATAAGGGATTAATGGATTTTAGGCCAATGTCCTAGCCCCTTGGGATAAGCATGCATAATGACAAGAACAAAAAATGAGCAGTTGCCTTGCAATTGTCTGTTTTATCCCCAGTAGAGCTCATACTGTCAGACTCCTTTGGAAAAAGAGCCACCAAGCCTCTACACTAGAGCTCCTGCTGCTTCTGAATCCCCTGTGAAAAGGAAGGGCTGAGAGGTGATACCATCTTTCATAGGAACAAGATTAGTCTAAATTGTCAGTGAAGGTACTATTGTTGTCTGAAAAATATCTGACAAGGGATGAATGCCAGTTTAGCTGGGATGGGGGACACTAAAATGAGGATGGAGACTGGAGTTGTCTTTGTTCTGAGAAGGGATTTTAGGAGGTAGGATTCTTGATGTGGGCAGTAGTTCTGTTGATATGTGGGCAATCAGTAAGTTGGTATTCAGGAGTTTAGTAAAATTGCATATGTGGCTTTCCAGCAGTGAGTAATTTCAGTGCTGTCATGTGAGGCTCTTAAACTCTTCTTTGCAGTGTCAGTACCCTTCTTTTTATTGCTTTATCCTTGTGCTGTGAACTTGGGAAACTTTGCTGCATCTAAGCACAGATCCTACACTGCAAATGGAGAACAACCACATCTCACATTTAACTTGTTGACGAGGGCTCTTTCCTGGGATGTGAGCACTGGAATCCCACTATCAAGTAAAGTCTCTAATTCTCTGGGTGAATGTTGTTCCTCCACCAATTGACATAATAGCAACACCTCTTCCTGTACCCAGTATTGTCCCAGTGAGTTACGTACAGTCTGAACATCCCTAAGAAGTCAGACTTTGGTTGACATCTAAGCTTCTCCCTGCCTATACTGGAGTTGGCATATCTTGATCTTCTTGACCTTCAGAGTTTGTGCAGAGCACATACTCCTGCACACAGGGAAATATAGCTGCAATGAACATGTTTATCGGTTTTTAAGCACCACCATGAGTCAGGCAAAGTGGTCAAGCTTGCTCGTCATGTGGTGTTCTCACTCACTTGGGTCAGTCTTGTGTCCCTCACCACAGTTCCTCCAGCTCAGGACGGCCATGCCCCTTGTGCACCAGCTGCTTCTTCCCTCTCTGAGCAGTGTTTGGTGCCAGGTAGGGCTTTGAACTGTGCAGTCTGAAATGCCCCTGAAGCTTATCAAGCTGTGTTAATTCCAGTTTCTTGGGCTGAACTTGACTCCAAATATCTGCCTCTGCTCCCAGTATTGCCTGGTTCTCTCTTGGCTCCCACTGGAACATCTCATGTTTCTGTACCCCAGTTCAGCAGTGACTACGGGATTAAGAGATTGTTCTCAGTCACCTGGTTTCCAAAGTTTAATACTTGCTGTGTGATTCACGGTGATTCCTTGGTTCTTGGTTAGTTTGCAGGTCCCTGGATGGTTGCCATGTGTTAGTTAATCACACTTTGCCTAATTATGGACATGTGAGTGCATCTGGAGGTTGTAGGCTGCTGTGAGAATGAATGCAGGAGTGCTGCAGGGTTAGGTTGGCTGAATTTGCTATAACTCCCATGCCTGGGCAGACTGGATTGACTACAGAAAGATCTAGACAACTAGCTCAGAAACAGATGTCTATAAATTATGTGGACGACTAAAATCACAGCTGCAGTGCTTGACATGCGTCCTCCATAATGAAGATTATATCCCTTATAAGAACATGGTCTTTAACAGTTGAGTGTTAGAAATGTCTGTCTTCTGTGGACCCAGACAAGTTTGCAGTTTGGTTACCTCCATTGGATAAAATACTTACGGAGTGTGGTAGACAATGTGGACACTTGTCATGTTCACTGAAGACTTTTGTCTCTGTCTGGCAGCACAGACTGGCATTTGCTGTGCAGAAACATACACCCGGGAACGCGAGCAATCAGACCTGATCAGATAATTGGTGAGGTTTAATAGAAGCTGTGAAAGAGCAGTGTTTTTACAAGGAATACGATAGTGGTGCAGAGGTGAAGAATCTCACTGCTTGTGAGGAACACTGGTACTGGCTTTGTACCAGTTTGCTGACTGGTGTCCATCTCCATTTGCCTCAGTTTGTTCAAGCGATGAGCTGTGAGATGGAGAGTTGCCGCGCTGCTGATGGGGGTCCAGCAGCCAGATTCTTTGTAGACTTTGTAGAAGTGCTTCAGAGATCGCTCCCAATTGCATAGAATCATAGTATCATAGAAAGGTTTGGGTTGGAAGTGACCTTAAAGATCATCAAGTTTCAACCATCTGCCCTGGGCAGGGACACCTCCCACTAGAGCAGGTTGCTTGATGCCCCATCCAGCCTGGCTTACCTCCCTGCCCGGCTTTGCTTGTCCAACTCCCACGCTGACCTGGTGGAGCAGCACAGCCCAGTTTTCCTGATGGGGGGAGAGGAACAAGAACCAGCTGTCTCACCTGTTTGTCCATGTTGAACAACCTGTGGACTTGCAGAGAAAATCATGGGGTTTGAGGGAGGGAAGGCACAGTCTGCAAATGTTAATGTTGGGTCTGAGATTTGTCCAGATATAAAGGTTTAGGAGGTTCCCATTTATCTGTCTGGTTTTGGTATTTTTCGGGGTGAAGGGAATGATGCACTGTGATTCCTGCCTGTCTGATGATCAGGAGTGTCACTCCTGATCAGTGATGTGCAAAGGCAGGATCTTCCCAGTGGGTTTGCAGCCCTCAAACCTTGCATGAATGTAAAATAATTTCTGTGTGTTTTCAAGCATCCTGAAGGTATTAAGCGAGATAAATTTTGCAATAAAAATATTGTCTTGCCATGAAAAGTGAAACCATTTGTCTCAAAAAATTGTGACATTTTTCAGCTGAATCACATATAAACACATTGCATTTGGATATTGTCTTTATCTTTTCAGCAAGAAAATGTTTTCCAGCAACCGTCGTGCTTGTTCTAGAAGGGTGGTCATTGGTAATGTCTCCTTATTGTTCTTTCCTATAGAACAGGTTGCCCAGAAAAGCTGTGGTTGCCCCATCCCTGGAGGGGTTCAAGGCCAGGCTGGATGGGGCTTTGAACCACCTGGGCTGGTGGGAGGGGTCCCTGCCCAGGGCAGGGGATTGGAATTCAATGATCTTTAAGGTCCCTTCCAACTCTTAACAATTCTATGATTCCTAGCTATGTCTAATGCTACAGCACCAGAGCATGCAACCCCCTGGAAGGACGTGGTTAATGCTCTATGGAGTTAGAACAGAGCTGTGACTTTACAGCGACCCATAGCACCACTGAGTAGAACAGATCTCCGTATGTGCTGGTGAATGTACTGCAAAAGAACAAAACAACTGCAGTGGTATAAACATGTCCTCTTCATGGAGTCGAGAAAACTTCCCAGCTGAGGCTGCTGGTGACAACACACATGCGGTTCTTCTCTCTCCCCACAGCAATAGTCTGCTACTTTGCCTTGGTGGAGGTGGGATACTATATCTAACCAATCTGTATTGATTTATCTTCTGAGATGGGGAAGTACCCTGATCAGCAGCTTTCTGAATATCCTTCCCTCTGATCTTTTCTCTTATAGAATCATAGAATCGTCCAGGTTGGAAGGGACCATTCAGATCATTGAGTCCAACCATCAACCCACCACTGCCCCAACACAACCCACCACTAACCCATGTCCCTCAGCACCACGTCTGCCCAGCTTTTAAATACCTCCAGGGATGGTGACTCCACCACTTCCCTGGGCAGCCTGGTTCCATCCTAATAACCATCCTAAAGTTCCCCTGATGCAACTTGAGGACGTTTCCTCTTGTCCCATCGTCTGCTCCTTGGGAGAAGAGACCGACCAACCCCCCCCTGGCTACACCCTCCTTTCAGGGAGTTGTAGAGAGTGAGAAGGTCTCCCCTCAGCCTCCTTTTCTCCAGGCTGAACACCCCCAGCTCCCTCAGCCATCTTCCGTAACTCACTGTTTTTTCCACTGTCTTTCAGCTTGACTGGGAAAGAAGCTCTGACCCACTTCCCATCCCTGGGACCCTCCACAAACGCTGCCCAGGGGAAGGTCCACATGAAGCAGTGTGACTTGCTGAAGCTGTCCCGCAAGCAGAAGAGGCTTTGCCGGAGGGAGCCGGGTTTGGCAGAGACCTTGAGGGATGCCATCAGGCTTGGCATAGTGGAGTGCCAGTACCAGTTTCGCAGCGAGCGCTGGAACTGCAGCCTGGAAGGACGGACCAGCCTGCTGAAGCGAGGTACAAGGTAGTCTTTGGTTTGCAGTATCAAATCTCAGGGAATATTAAATTCAATTTATCATTAAATATCTAATTAAGCAAAGTGGGGCAGTGATCAGGGAGTAGAGAGATCATCTGTTTTGTCTCGGAATGAGACCTGTGCATTTTTTTTTGTCCACAAGCTATGCCTTATTCTCATCTTTCATGGGTGGTTTGTCATGAATTGAAAATTAGACGGATGTTCACATCCTTGGCTTGTGGATTTTTGTCCAAGACCAGAGTTTCCTTGACCATCTTCCTTGGTTGGCAGTCAGGGATGATGCTGTGAAAAATAAGGGCTAGTGCTTTATGTCAAGTGACATATTAAGAAAACACTTTTTCCAGCTCTTTGGATATTTTTGTATGCAAATTTCTATTGTTCTCAGATACAGAATTGAATCCTAGTATACTGTTTGAAAAAGCTATTATCAGCTTTAAGTCATTTCGGTGCATGTTTACAAATATTTCCTCAGGCTCTTTCACAAGTATTTGGAGTTCCTGCAGAAGTTCACACAGAGCGGGCAGAAAAGCCACTGGCTTCTGCTTCACAGAAGGGTTTAGAAGAACAAAATGTCCTCTAAATTCTGTATTTGATGTAGGAGGGAGCATAATAAATCCTTTAAATAATAAGAGCCTGTCATCATCCAAACTACGCCTTACCAGCCTCTTACTGAGTTTCAGCCCTTCTATAATGTTCAGTAGCATTTAATAAGTTTCAGTCTTCAGTATTACTGAGTTTCAGTCTTTTGATAATGTTTAGTAAGTTAATGTATTTTAGAAAGAGGCTGATTAAGCCAATATTAACTTCATTTTTAATTAGCATTGGGGTTGAAATTCTTTAACATTTCCATTTAAAATTATCAAATTTTATTAAAGTAAATATTAAGTTAACATTTTAGCAACTCAGCACATACAAGATCACATTTACTTCATTGCAAAGTTCTATTGTGAATTTTTTAGCACACTGTGGAAGAAGCTGTTTGTGATCATTTTTAGTGACTTTCTGACATCTGTACCTTCATCAACCTCAAAGAACTTGAAAATGACAATTGAATAATCCTCATCTTCAAATAGCTGGAAAACATTTAATTATCTCGTGGTGACATGCCTCGACACTTCCATGGACTCCTGACTGACAAAATAAAATATCACCTGTAATTTAAAACCTGTTTTGGCAGATGAGAATAAGTGTTTGAAAACTTTTATTACACAATCTTAAGGATCAAATGATGATTTAATACAGAAAAGTATGCTGTATACATCTCCTGTATGAGAGGACAGTTGGCTGGAAGCAATGACTAGTTCTCATTTTCCTTTCACTTGCAAATAGGTTAATTTCTTTCACAAAGAACACAAACATTTTCAGCTGCTAGTTTTGATCTGTTTTTCACATATTCCTACTGCTGTTTTGTTTCTGCCTTGGAAATATCTGATCAGAAAGTGGACTGTACTCCTTTCCCCCAAGTAGTGATGAAGAGGTTTAGAAATTATTAAATCATTTGATATCACCATGGTTCTAGAGAAACCGTAATGAAAACCACAATTTTTATCGGTCTTCATTGGTTTTATGAGTGCAAGAGGGGAAAAAAGACCGTGTCGTAGTGAGATGGTTGATGTTTGTAATAGGTGAAAAGCCACACTTACTTCACAGTGACAATCAAAAGCTGTTCTGACTGGGATCACCTGTGCTGCTCCTACTTCTACAGATGCCATCATCTTTTTTCTTGTACATACATACTTCTAGTAAGTAAAAAAAAAATGCCAAGGGCTTTCTGGTTTTTGAAATGCCAGATTTATTTTCACAGTCTGCACCATTTGTTGTATTACATTTACACTCAACTGAGAAACTCCTTTTGCATAGGCTACAATCCTTCTGTGACTCTTGCAGTCACTTAATGGTGGCTCTTACTCTTCACTGATCCATGCAAAATCCTTCTGCATTCTTTCTCCACTTCTTAAAAAATCTATGAAAAGAGATAGGTTTGAAACTCTTCTGGACAGACATTTCAAGCCACCTTGCTGCATAGTGGCAATTGTGTTTATAAAGAGTTTGTGAAGCCATGATGATCCTTTGGTTTCCAAGGCGTGCCGTAGAGGCAGTCAGTTATGCTGGAGGTGAGGTGAGCAGTAGTTCAACTCAAACAACATGGTGATTTGGGGAAAATAAATACCCATAGCAAAGACAGCTCAGATCCAGCCACGCAGAAAAATCCTTCTTGAGAAACGAGCACTCTTACAATCCTTCCCTCCATCAATCCATTTCACGTTGGTTGGATTCTTTGATCTTCATGCAGTGGTTCCATTGATGTCCTGAGGAATCTGGGAAGGGTGCAGCACAGGAGCAGGGGCTCAGAGATGTAAAATTTCCAAGATTTTAAGAACTCAGTTGGACAAAGCCCAGAGCAATTTTACCTGGCATTGGAGTCCTGCTTTGAGCAGGAGGTTCTACTAAAGGCTTTGAGAAGTCCTTCCATCCTAAAGCTTTCTACAATTCTATAGCTTTCTGGTCTGCTCTTTTTTTCTTTGTTTGGTCAGTTGATTTTTGTTTGTTTGGTGGTGTTTTTTTTGTTGGTGCTATTTTTTTTCCCCCCTAGGAAACGTCTCTTCCAGTTGCTCTGAAATGCTCCCACTATCTTTATTGTAGCATCGAAAAATCTTTGACCTTGAGCATCTTTCCTTTGGCAGAATCACCACATGGCTAAACTCCTCCTATTATAGTTTTTCTTGTGGTCTAGAACACACCACACCACAGCACAGAACAGTGTCTTGCCATTGCAACAAACATCTTTCTGTATTTATAGGCTGCTAAGCTAAGAAATAATTCCAGAGAGCTCAGGCAAGGACTTGGATGTGTGCAAGGACCTACCAGGGGGAGCTGGCTTGCTTCAACATCTTGAAATTCAACTCTGTGCTGGAAGTTTGCAACCAAAGTGACTACTGCCCAGCAAAGACATCTGCATATGGATGTTCCCCCTTGCACTGGGGGTTTATGATTTCATTTAGTCACCAGCAACACAGTCAATGGGGTCAGGAGAGTGACTCACCCCTCAACCAGACCCAGAGAGCCTGGGCATCTGCTCAGGCTCCACTGGTTGTGGTGACAAGAGCTCCATTGACATAGCGGGAAGATGGATAACCAGGATATGTGGAGAAACCTCTATTTAGATCTTCTCAAATCATGCTCATTGGAGCTGATTACTGCTCGTTTGTGCTTTGTGCCACTGAAAATCCAGCCTCCACAGCTGCTCTGTTGCTCTTTGTTATTCCACATGGGCTTAAGGACCATTCTGTTTTTCCTTTACTCTGTGATTTGTGAATTAAACAATTAAACGGACAGTGATCAATGCCTTATGACTAAATAGAAGGAATCATCTTAGAGTTTTCAGACAAGTATGTGGGAACTTGGTGATAGTGAACCTTTGCCATAAAAGGAGGTGGGAGGAGGGAGAAGAAGGAGACGGTTCTTGAGTTAGTGCTGTCTGCAGTGGCCTGACCACAAGCAATGGTCTCTGATTTCAAGTGGGTTGAAATCTGGCCAGCCCTTACGTGGAGTGCCACAGAAGAAACCAAACCATCACTGGTCAGAAATAGCAGAAGCAGTGTGGTATTCCACAAAGTCAGATTTAGCAGGGTATGTGGAGCTGATGGGTACTGCTAGCTTTATATGGTATGGGAACGTGTTTTGAAAATGTTCTCCTCTCCTCTGGTCTCAGTACGTCAGATAGGACACTGAGAATCTGGGAAGCATTTGGAGATAGCTACTGGAATTATTTTTCAGATTTGGGATCTCAAATGTATCTTATCCTCTCTTAGCCCCTTCTTTTGAGTTAGCCACTGTGGGAAAATGCATGAACATCGTGTTGCTATCCATAACCTGTATTGACTGTGTCCCATATCAGCTTTTCCAAAACTTTTGATAGATTTGGTGACATTTTTTAATTATTCTTCCAGTGCCCTTAGAGACTTTAATCATCAATCAGAGAGTTTAGTTGCAAGTTACTTGTCTTACTGATACAGCAACTGAAATAGTGAGGTAGGAAGCAGTTTGTTGTTGATCTCCTTGACATCCTCCTAATTTTCTTGACTCTCTCCATACTTGCCCATACTGTTGCTAGATCTTTCACCTAAAATTCTGGAATTCCAATGAGCTCCTGTGAAGTCTGCCTTCAATTTGCTAATGCAGCCCCTCCATTATCTTCATGATTAGTCAGTTTTCCATTCTTTTCACTGATAGCTATCAGAAGTATTCTTTGTCCTATTCTCTGATCAGATTTTTGGTGACCTCACCCACATCTCAGCAGTCAGTGGTCTGATCTATTATTACAGCTGGATGGGAATTCTTTGAGGGAACAGAATGATGGAAAGATTTGAGGTTGGACTGGATGAATTCTAGAGGTCCCTTCCAACCTCTGCTCAGAGCAGACCTAACTGCAAGACTAGATCAGGTCTCTGTGGTTCTCTGTCTGTCTTCCAGTTTTTTGCAAAACAGATTTGTTTCCTTCTGATATGGAAGAAAATCTGGAATTTTCAAATGTAGAATATTTGTTTGCTTCAATGTGTTTCTTTCCATACAATGTACAAGTGCTCTATTTATTATAAGCAGAAATTTTTCTATTTTGGCCAATCTTATCCATTCCTGCATGCTGAGCTATTGATCAGTCACCTATCTTTCGGTTCCTTGCCCTACTTCCTACATTGTGGACTTGTTAAGCAATTTCCCATTAATGGTTTTGATTTCTGCAAATAAACTCTGGAGGAAATATTAAGATTTTTCCCTGGATTAAATAGGAGAGGAGGTAAATAATCAAAACAAAATACTTTAGGGTTTAGGGCAGGTTTGTGTCAATTGGTGTCTTCTGGAACTTCTGTGGGAAACTCGTGGCTGCCATATCAATATGCCTATTCCTATCTGATCCCATGTATTCAGACTGAATTCCTGTTTGGGCACTGTACTTTCTTTCCTGGTTAAAATGTCATGTGTCATGGTCACGTACCTCAGGGCAAATGTAGCCTAGCTGGGAGGCCAGCTTTAGAAAGGGGAATAGCTTCAGAAAGCACCATCGCACTCACTGGGAGCAGATACTGTACAGAGAAGTCTGAAAATCCACTTGTGCTGGAGAGTCTGTCCTTGTCCAAGATGTTCTTCAACATGGAACCTTTCCCATTCAAACCACATGTGATCCTTCCATATGAAATGCTACTACTGTGCCAATCCAGTCCCAATAAACAAAATTCCAAATAACGGGTCTGATTTTTAAGGTATTTTTTCATTCTTTACTAAATATTTTATGAATTTAAACCACAATATGATTTGAGTGATGGCTTCTAAGCACACCTGTCAGCTCTCTGGTGAGGATGAGGACAAATGAAGTTTCATGACTGCCACTTTTTGAAGTTGAATATTTCCCCAGGGCTGTTTGGCTGTTGCCACCCATCCCTTGAATCATGAGTGGTCTCCTGTCTCCATATTGAATCAGTCACAGCCACCAGGAGAGCCCAGGGTGTTACAACATCAGTTACTCCAAACCTGATATTGAGATTCTCTGATAGGAACGGTGTGCAGGTAATGGAAGAGTTTTGTCTCTTTGTATTACTGAGTTTTGCACTTGGGTTTAGTTCACGGGCAGTCAGGAGAGCCAGTGAGGTGGATGAACACCTTATTTTGCCTTTCCTGCTCCTACCCTCTCCTAATCCTTTTCCTGTGCAGGTTTTAAGGAAACTGCCTTCCTCTATGCAGTGTCCTCTGCAGCTCTCACCCACTCCCTGGCCAGAGCGTGCAGTGCTGGGCGCATGGAGCGCTGCACCTGCGATGACTCCCCAGACCTGGAGAACCGCAAGGCCTGGCAGTGGGGCGTTTGTGGAGACAACCTCAAATACAGCACCAAGTTCCTGAAAAAGTTCTTGGGTCAGAAGAGGATTGGCAAAGATCTGCGGGCCAAGGTGGACATCCACAACACCAATGTTGGCATCAAGGTGAGGACCTGCAGCAGCAGGCCTTGAAAGAAGTTAGGACTCAGTCCAAGTCTTCTAATCCATCCTTAGCCAGGGCTGCTTGTGAGTAGGGTATTAAGTGTCCCTACTCAAAAACCAGACCTGTTTACCTGTGAGTTGTGGATCTTATTTTATTGAGAGCTCCCTGGAAACTGTCATTAGCTCTGGTGTGAGGGGACGCATGTTTGGAGCAGCAGAGCAGCATCTTGTATCCTCTGAGGGTATCAGAGGCTGAGTGACAGCACTATGGAGCACACTAACATCTGTAAATCCCACTGGCTGAACTACTCCATGGGTTGTGACATGGCCACAAGGAGTTCTGAGAACAGTATGAGTTTCCGAGCTTCTACATGTGAAGTAGATTAAGGGTTGACACTCTTGAGATCAATTATGAGTCTGTTGTCAAGTTGCTGTGGACCTAGGCATGTCACAAGTTTGGGTCAGGGAGACCATTAGATTAAGTGTTTTGATCTGTATGTTACAGGCTACTGACTTATCACTGATTTGATTTGAATATACCAAAGGGAATCCACTGTGCTGGAGATACTCATCAAGCATTTTGGCCTGTATGTTACAGGCTACTGACTTATCACTGATTTGATTTGAATATACCAAAGGGAATCCACTGTGCTGGAGATACTCATCATTTGTCCTCATTCAAGCTTTTTGCTCTCTGGCTTTCCAGTCAACTCTGTATCTGCTCTTTTTTTTTGTTTGTTTGTTTTTTGTTTTTGTCATTTGTCCTCATTTAAGCTTTTTTGCTCTCTGGCTCACCAGTCAACTCTGTAGCCATTCTGCTGTTTTGTTTTTTCTTTTTTTTTTTTTTTTTTTTTTTTGTTTTGTTTTGTTTTTATTTTTGTTTTTGTTTTGGTTTTTTTGTTTGTTTTGTTGTTTTTTTTTTAGTTTCTCCTCCATAAAATAGGAATAATACCAACAAAACTGAAGTAGGCAACTGGGAATATTCAGCCTGGAGAAAAGGAGGCTGAGGGGAGGCATTATCACTCTCTAAAACTCCCTGAAAGGAGGGTGTAGCCGCAGGGGGTCAGAAGAAGAAATAGCCCCAAGTTGCATCAGGGGAACTTTAGGATGGAGATAGGGAAAAATTTCTTCACTGGCAGGGGTTCAGTCTCTTCTCCCCAGGAACAGATGATAGGAGAAGAAGAAATAGCCTCAAGTTGCATCAGGAGAAGTTTAGGATGGAGATAGGGAAAAATTTCTTCACTGAAAGGGTTATCAAACACCGGATCAGGCTGCCCAGGGCAGTGGTGGAGTCGCCATCCCTGGAAGGATTTAAAAGCCGGGCGGACATGGTGCTGAGGGACAAGTGTTGGTGGTAGTCTGGGCCGTGTCGGGGTGATGGTTGGACTCAATGATCTGAATGGTCCCTTCCAACCTAAATGATACTATGATTCTAAGTACTTCCAGACTATCTGCAATCTGAGGTGTTACCACTACCCTGAACTAGGCTCATGGCCCTGGCAGATAATGACTACTGCTTCTCTTCCTCATCAGGCTGTGAAAAATGGTCTCAAAACCACATGCAAGTGCCATGGTGTCTCCGGCTCATGTGCTGTCCGGACATGCTGGAAGCAGCTTTCACCTTTCCATGAGATTGGCCGACTGCTGAAGCTGCGCTATGATGATGCCGTCAAGGTCTTCAGCACCACCAATGATGCTGTGGGACACTCAGAGCTGGCTGGCCCACAGAGACACAGCCATTCCCCCAAGCACCCCGCTTCGCCCCGCTCTACTGACCTGGTGTATGTGGAAGACTCCCCCAGTTTTTGTCGTCCCAGCAAATACTCCCTGGGAACTGCTGGGAGGACCTGCTCTCGGGAAGGCAACTGTGACAGCATGTGTTGTGGACGAGGCTATAACACCCAGAGCCGGCTGGTTACCTTCTCCTGCCACTGCCAGGTGCAGTGGTGCTGCTATGTTGAGTGCCAACAGTGCATGCAGGAAGAGGTGGTCTACAGCTGCAAGCAGTAAAGTCGGTGCTAGAGGGTCAAGAGAAGTCCTACAGTACAAGAAAGCAGTAGAGAGACAGAGACATGATTCTCTACCGTGGGGTGAGGGCAAAGGCAAGCACCAGAGATGTCCAATGCTCCTATTATCTCATTGTTGAGATCCTCTGATCTGGGGAGAGCCCCTGTATGAGGGGTGAAGACCACAGGTTTTGTCAGGTACCAGATCAGGAGGGAAGGAGAGAGTAGGGGTAATGTGGGAACAGCAGAAACACTGGAGCAGCCAAAAATATCTCTCTTGAGCTAAAACTTGTACTCTGGTCTGCAGGAATATCCCCCTCCTCCATCCCTCACTTGCACTTATGTAAATGGGTTGGGGTGGTGACATTGAAATATTGAGAGCTTGTGCCCTGGTTCCTGGAGAGAAGGGAAGGGACCAGGGACTCACCAGAGACTGGACAGCAGGGACAGCCATGTTCCTGCACCCGGGCAATATGACTCTGGCAGCAGGGGGTTTCAGTGCTGTTCTCCGGGCTCTGGTTGAATCCCTTCTGCTTTGAACTCAAAGACACACTGTTGAGTAGTCTCATCTTGATGCAAGAACTGTGCCTCAGAAATACCAGTTTACAAACAAATGGACCTCAAATAAATGGGTTGGGGTAGTGACATTGAAATATTGAGGGCTTGTACCCTGGTTCCTGGAGAGAAGGGAAGGGACCAGGGACTCACCAGAGACTGGACAGCAGGGACAGCCATGTTCCTGCACCCGGGCAATATGACTCTGGCAGCAGGGGGTTTCAGTGCTGTTCTCCGGGCTCTGGTTGAATCCCTTCTGCTTTGAACTCAAAGACACACTGTTGAGTAGTCTCATCTTGATGCAAGAACTGTGCCTCAGAAATACCAGTTTACAAACAAATGGACCTCAAGTCCATCATCTCCCAGGTCTATGGTTTGGATGTTAGACTCCAAGTGCATTTTAACCCCCTTTTATCCTTGTTGTACACAGGAGACTCGGAATGGCCTCCGTTACAGTGCATGTGTCACGGGAGCTCACCTGAGTTCTGTGAAGTTACCCCTCCACAGCACGCTGCCTTGTGGGGGGCTATTTTATGGTGGTGGATCCAGGGTGATGGTGCCAATTATGCATATCTCTTTTTCTTTCTCCCCACCCCCTGCCCCCTCCCCCATCAAACTTTCAATCACTTTTTTGTCTTATGTGTGTCTTATGTCTTTGCCCTGGTGCCCAGACTGCATCATATCCCATAGTTCTACCCTGTGCTAACAGCAGGTAGAATTTGTGAAAGGGAATTAGGAACCACAGGAACTGGGGCTTCTTACAATGTTTGCAAGTCACGAGTGACAATCTCTGCACTGAGAAGTGAGATATGTCTGGACAATGCCGGCATCTGGCGTGAGGAGCTGACCTGGGGGAAAGAGCACAGTCCATCACAGCTGTGATCCCCTGACTTTGAGTCATGATTTTCTAGTTGACTTGAAGTTGAACACAACAGAAACAGCCTGTTTTGTTTTTTTTTTCTTTGGTTGTGTCTTAGAGAGCAGTCTTGGGAGTGGCAGTGAGGCCGTCCCTGACCTGGCCACCAGTATGGAGGGGTGTAGCACCCCGTGCCTGGGTGTTGAGCTTGGCAGTGTGGTCACCTGCTCTGGGGCCCTTTGTGGCTAATCCTGCAGCAGCAGCTGGAGCATTTCTACTGTGAGCACCTCTGGAGAGTCCCCGAGGTAACAAAGCTGTTGTATTTACCCAGTTTTGGTAACTGCTATAATACAGCAACCAGGATGCTGGTGTGGAGATGGGCTGGTGCTGATGAGAATATGTAAATCCTTAAGCTCAGGTCAAAATTAATTGGCAACGTAGTTGGTGAAGACGCTGGTTTGGGTTGTTTAGATGGACTGATCCATAGGTTGAACTGGTTGAGCTTTCAATATGACTGAGTTGTCCTGACAAACCCTGAGATCTCACCAGTGTGCTCCAGCTCCTGAGAGCGGGTCTGCTGAAGTCAGGCAGCTCATCTGTTCATTTACATATGCTGTGAATAATTACAGTGATGAGTGTGCCCTCACACTATCTTTATCTTGACTTTGTTGCCCTTTGTATTTACAACTATTTTTGACTTCTGCTTCATTAAACGATGGAAGAGAACTCTCAGAGCAGATCTAGCCATGAACTGGCTGTTTAGAGGCCACTAACACCTTCCCTTTGGCTAGCCACCGGGCTTTTTATGGGCTTATTCCTTTTTATCCTTTTTCTGGCTCAAGTTGACTTGACCTGAATTAAAGTGCTTATGACAGACGTAATACTGCAAATTGGGTTAATTGGCCATATTTTTTTTTTTTTTTACTTCCTAAGTACCAGTGAAATTAATATCGAGCAGACCATTATTTACATGTTGCTTTTAATCTTTTGGGAGTTGAAATCTTCCCACGAGTCTCAATGTTGAGCACTCAATGAAAAAACAACCCAATGAGTTAAAATTGTTAGGAACAGGCACCGTGGGTGAAGCAACAAAGGAACTTGCTCTGCTCTACACGACTGATCCCAAGCCACCTGCCCCACTGACCTCCTGGCTTGTCCAGCACCAGAGAGGAAGGGAGAACCCTGTCACAGGAGGGTTCTGTGGGGGATCCCCTGCCACTGCACGTAGCATTCTCATTTAAACTGAGACTCAGTGGAAAGAGAGGGGAAAAACAGCAGAGGCACCACTCTGTCCTCTTGCTTTTATCCAAGCTGCACTTCTCAGTTGTCCATTGGCCAGTAATTTCTGGGCCTGCACCATTCATTCTCCACACCCAGATGTCATAATTTGAGAGCAGTTAGGATGCTCCTAGGTGGTGGAAACTGTTCTTGATGTGCTTGTTTCTTTTTATTTCCTCTTTGGGCTAATGTTGACAAAGTCAGCTAAGGAGGTTCAAGCAGACACATCACCACAGGTTGGGATTTATGCACTGTGTGGATCAGGCAACAGGACTTGCACAAGATCACTGCCAGCAAGAACTCAGGATAGAACTGGTTTTCAATGACTTAGAGAGTTCTGTCTCCAGCTTTGACATGAAGTTGTTTGAAGAAGAAAGAACAATTCTGTAACCTCCTAGTAATGTTATGTGGGTCAGTGTCACCTGCTGACGGCTGCATCCCAGCAAGGGGTTATGAATGTGCTTTCGTGGTTCTTAAAAAAGCAGGCTGTTTATGTCATTTTGAGTGTTAGGTCTTCTCTTAAGAACTTTACATCCACTGAGCTCCAGGTGACCCTGCTGAGCAGTATCGTGCTTGACTCTTTCAGCAGGAACTGTCAAACCGCACGCTGGGAGCAGGTCTAGGAAGCTCGGATGTACTCCTGTCCTCCAAACCCAACTTGGACCTGTTGGAGAAGTTCTACCATCCATCTGACACATAAGTGAAAAATCTGTTTTCTCCTCTCCCCAATGACTCCAGTAACAATGTGTTGGAGCTTGGCTGAGGTGGCTGTTGGGCTACAGGCTAAACAGGAGCCTTCCTGGATCTGGCTGGTCTTTGTAGGGCCCTTGGGGGTACTCTCCAGGTACCTTCAGATTGCACTCATTTCAAAGTGAAGCTTTTCATCTTGCTCAGACTCACTCTTTTGTATGATTCCTGTAAAAAAAAGAGAAAACTGCACAAGAACAGACATGTAGGTTTTAGTCTTCAATGACCTGGTCCTGCTTTGCAGTGGCTGTGGAAAGAAATACATGTTGCTAACACCTTTCACTTTCCTGTCAAAAGCATTTCAAATCTGTAGACTAGTTCTCCTGTCCTAAAGTCCAGCCTGGCTTCTGCACAGCAAAAAGTGTTATTTTAATAATATCCTTTATCTGGCTCCAGATGTTGCAATGCTTCAAGCGGTGGGTGAATGCATTTCAGAGGCATGTTAGGTGTTTTGCACAACAGACTCAAAACCAAGACCAGAAGGATAGTAATATGATTATTTAAGCAGAGAGGAATATGGTCAGACCAGTAGAACTTGCAACTTTGGTTATTTGTGTTCTTTACATCTGAAACACTGATGTCAGTGGGACCTGAAGGACACATTTGTGGCAAGGGGACTAGGCACGTTTATTTAGGCAACTCAATCAGGCCCCTTCATTGTGAATATTTTGGACTGAATTGGTCCTTTGGCACTCTTTCAGGCAAAGAAGACACATTTAAGGCAGAATTGGATACTGCTTTGCAGCACTTGAAAAATAACTTGGTTTTTGTGTGTGTAGCCCATGTTGTATGGACAGTCATGCTTTTTGAGGTGGTGTCACCAAGTCCCTCACCACTGAAAACACTGATGTCTGTGAAATGTGCAGGGGTTGCCTCCAGCAATAGAGGTTTTTTAAGCAGTGATCTGTGTTACCATTTGAGCTGTGACCTGTTGAAGCAGCAGTGTGTGTGCCATGCCATGTTTTTGTCCAGTCTTGCTGTCAGTAGCTATGAGGTGGAGCTGCCCATCGTCTTGAGTGTTGGGTTAGCCAGTCCCATGGGGCTCTCAAAAGAACTTTACTAGTCAAAGAATAAAGTAAACAAAGTAAATTGGAAGGTGAGGTTGCACCTGGAAGTCCTGGCAGCACATGGGAATTGTTGAATAAGAACTGGACATAAAGATATTTCAAGGTAAAATTAAGTACTGTTTGTTCATGTACCAAAATGGACTTTTGTGCCTGCAGCTCCTTGCCCTCAGAGGTGGCTCAGAGCTGCTTAAGAAACAGAGAAGATCTGAGGAAGAGGTGGTTCATTCTCTGGTATCCTTGGGGTGAGTTTAGGCTCACTGTAATATGGAGGTTCAGCGTTTGACTGAAGCAAATTTTGGTTGTGAGCTGTTAAGCCAAGTCTGGACAAGGAATTCTGATGTCCTTTGGCTTTGCTTTGCAAACTTCACTCAAAGCCTGTTTCAACCCCTCCCTGTCACAGCTGAAGAGCTTTCCACTCAACCACTGTTGGTCAGAACAGACAGACCCTCAGTTGGGAAATCAAATGATGAAAACTGATTGGAAATAAATAATTTAAAACACCCCATATGAGGTCTGGGGACA